CGTGCCTTGCGCTGGTACATTCAGCGTACTTCGCCGTTTAGACGTAATCGTCCCAGACTGTTTGTTTCATGTAAAACAAATGTAGACTCGGAGATATCCAAGAATACCATATCTTCATGGCTCAGAAAGACTATATCTTTTGCTTATAGGGATCAGAATCAAGACTTAATTAATCTTATATTCTCCCCCCCCATGAAATTAGAGCCCTAGCTTCATCCTTAGCGGCTTGGTCGTCAGTTCCGTTAGAACAAGTTGTGTCTAGTTGTCAATGGAAATCTCCTAATACCTTTATCAAATTTTACCTCAGGGATGTTGCTCCCTCTATTGAAGGTTTACATTCATTAGGACCTTTAGTAGCAGCTCAGCACCTTGCCTCCGCCTGACTGCCCCTTTGGGTGGGGGTGTGTTGACCTGGCATATACATCTTCAGGAAAGATGACGCAGTGAGAGATGGTGCCTGGGACTGTCTGAGGGTCCACTGGGAAGGATGATGGATGGATACTGGTTAAGGGACAGCATGTAGCAAGACAAGTTGACATGGTAAGAGAATTTACATTTAGATATATCACCTAACTGAGCACAATATGGACAGAGTTCTAACTTCTGAGCTTTGGTTGATGGCTTCACGTTAGAATATGATTATGAGCTCAAGGTGGTTACCTAAGGTTGAGTTGAACACAATTATAGTCTAATGACAGTTAACCGGAAGTGACGTCATCCAAACTAATTAGTATTACATCATAGAGATTGTCTCTAGGAACGGGAAGTGAGGTCATCAAACAGGAAGTGACGTCATAAGTTTAAGGAATATTAGGTTTAATGACACAATTCGTGATTCGAATAGAATCATGATATATTCATAGGAATCTAGCATAATAAGGAGTTAGGAATTATATAATTCCTACTAATACGGATTAGGATTATCATGATATCTATCATAACTATAGGAAGTTAGAAGACTCTCCATCTCTGGGAATGTATTCCCCCACTGCTACTGACCAAACTGGAGATAAATTATTTATCTCTGACTAAGTCATAGTTATTCCTCGGAGGTTGAGTAATCAACTCTCAGTTAGTGGTATAGAGGGTAGTATCTTCCAAGGGTAACCCTCCTTCCTTCCTTGGGATTCAGGCTACCATAATCCAGAGGGAATGTTTACGTTATAATTAGGAACAATTACATGTATTGTTAGTAATTGTTAGTAAACTTACCTCTGGATTATGGGAAGTAGTTCCCAACCTGTGTCCTCCCAGTGAATTTATCCTTAGATGTCATTGATGTGTTGTTTTTTAGAAAAATTATGAAGGGTTCTAGGAGAACAATAGTGACGTCAGGATCAAGGGAGATAACTCAGGGGTAGATTAGGTATACCACTAGGAATAGCTATGACTTAGTGTTAAAATTTCTTTTGATTTTCTGTATGTATTCTGTGAATCCACAGGAATAAGGCTACCATAATTCAGAGGTAAGTTTACTAACAATTACTAACAATACATGTAATTGTTCCTTTTCCCCCCCACAGCTTGGGGTGAGCTGGAGACACCAATCTCTCTCTGTTGAGTAGGGGCCCGTTTCACACGAGTATACGACTATTGTATGTCTACGATAGCTTTGTGAAACATGGCCCAGAGCTGTACAGTTTCCTGCTGCACTGAAGAGCATTTTTAGAATGCAGGAGGTATTGCCGACTATCGCCTACTGATGCCAGTCCAGTTGGTCATCACCTCGAGTCTAAGCCACTGGGTATTGGAGGGCGTTTGAACAGGATACACGTTTCTACATTTTCATCATCATCATCCAGCACTCGAATCCAGACCCACAGGTCCAACTGGACCAAGTTTCCCCATGTGTTGACAAAAAACAAACACAATTTTCTATCACAGAATTTACTTGTCAGAACCAGCAAGAGTAAATACATGGAGACAAGACTGGGTACCTGAGTGGTAGGAGGTTTCCAGTGTACAAATACACAAGCCAAATCATCCTCTGTAAGAATACTACATTGATCTAGAAATGACTAACAATCAAAGCAAATACCTCCCATAACTCTGCCTTCCATAACTCTGCCTCCCAGCTGCTGGCGGACAATCCATACACAACTCAAGGTACAGGTTTATATGATACGTCTTGCTTCAGTGTGTTGGTTATGGCGATGATGCAGATGTTTGATTAAATGACCAAAACAAAAAATACCAACCTATTTGTGAAAGGATGCACAATCGTTAAGTAAACATAATGAGTTGTAAAATTTGAGTTTGTTTCTTTCAGCTCATGAATGCCCTCTGATTTTGGCTTCAATAGATCTCAAAATATGTCATTATTTATTTAATTTTATCACCAACCCAAAACAAACAAGGTGCAGTACAAACCAATTTGAATGAATGAATGAAAAAAAACGGGCCAGACTTAAAACAACAAAAATAAATAAAATTGTGCATCATTTTGAATGATAATGGGAGAAAAAAACAAACCACACTACTTATCAATTTGTGTCTGTCAAAACTGAAATTAGTAGTAGCCATTGGAATAATAAGATGTGATCTGATTATGCAAACAATATATATATATATATTAAAAAATGTATAAATAACAATAATCACAATGTAGTTACCGGTACTATACAGTACACCACGACAAGCACTACTGACGATTAGAACATACACAACTAACATTGAAACATAAATAAATCCTAATACAGCACATCAGGAAACACCAGCTGCCAAAACAATGAAACTCTAGCAAATACTGTGGCATCATGCCATACTGTCATGGTGCCAGATTGACCCCTTTGAGCAATCCTGCTGTTCAGGTCCAGATCTATTTTTAAACGCAAACCGCTTTCATCTTGTTTCCACATACCTGTCATTTTGGCACAGTTAACAGATAAAAGTTGGCACCCAAGATCAATTAGGAATTTCCTGAAGTACCAGAAAATTATATTAGCTTCTTGTTAAAATAACCTATTTTCCCCAGATCTTTAAAAATATTGCTTAAAATGTAGATAAATATTTTGCAGCATGCATGAAGGTATACTTTTGGTGACAATAAGAATTCTAAATAGACAAACTTTATGGATAACAACTTCTTTATTACGAGAGTGTGACGTTTCGATACAGATTCTCGTACAATTGTCAAATGTATCTGTATCGAAATGTCGCACTCTTGTAATAAAGAAGTTGTTATCCACAAAGTTTGTCTGTTTTGTACTTCCTAGCTTCTATAATTCCACTCTAAGAAACAAGAGTTCTGCAACCAATCCTTTGTGTTTGACACTGGACAATATACTAAATGACAACCTACTGGACCAGTGTTATGTCTGCACGTCACCCAGGCTAACGATATCCATCACTACATGCAGTGTACTAGCACTTGGATTCTGCTAAAGGCATTGAGGTGAGGAATATAGGCATCAAGGAATTGACAATTTACTGAAATTCATCCTTTGTGATATCTTGAAAAATAGTTCATGTATAATATGACAAAAACAAAGTCATGGAGTCTGCAAGTGCATAAAGTGCATCTACAAGTTGGAGGTCATCACCCCAGGTGAGTTCTGAAAGTATTGTCTGAACTGTTGTGGAAAATCTGGATAACGTGGTTACAGTCTGAACTAGTGAGAAGCCATCAGTGATCATCCAGCATCATGTCTCCATCCTCCCGGGACAAATACCCTGGACCTGTAGGACAACACAGTTTCATGGTCTCGAATGCTGCAAATGCTTCTTTCATTACTTTGAACTCATTTGAGATTGTACTCACTTCAGTTTCAGAAGGAAAAGAAATTCTGTCTTAAATAAGTTCTAGACAACATGTAGACAGTTGAAACAGCCTGGTATTTAACTGAAAAGCATGGCGATCTGGATTATCACAGACTTCAGTGCCTCTTGCATGGTGTTACACATTCACACACAAACAAGTAACCATACACCCTGCAGTTCACAGCAATAACATTGTAACAATCTGACTTCGGAATTATCCCAGGCTCAACTGCATTCCAAACAAAACACGGGTAAAAAAACGAAACGGCAAAAACATGGCTCCATAATGTCTCAAAAACAGTCAAATCTTCCCAAATGATCTTGCTGATCATGACTTGATTTTATCTGTTGGATCAAGCTCTAGGAGTAAGCCTTGCCAGATATCAGATTTGTCGAGGTACTGAAAATACCATGAAATCACCTTCTCTGTAGTGCCCATGCATTACATGTTACATTACATCATGCTTGTGACAAATACTTGCACCATTTTACACCCGGCCACCACTACAGAAACCTGACGTTGTTGGCGACATAAGTTATTTTTACAGAAAAATAATTGACAAGCTATGGAGTAATTGGGACTTGCTTGTGACACACTGAACACAAAGTTGAGTGAAGCACAGTTGTGTCGAACCAGTGCATGAAATAAGCCAAAAATTCAGCCAGACATCAGGGCTGGTAACTTCAAAATGTTACCAGACCAAAATGGATTTAACCAGACCAGACACCAAGATATGGTGAATTTACACAGATGTATGGAACATCTTAAAAAAAATTACCAGACCATCGGGCTGGCTAACTGTAAATTTAGACCGTCTGTCAGAAATCTAGCCCGTCTCGGGCGGTCAGACGGGCCTGATTTCATACACTGGTCCAACCATTGGTGTGAAATGTGATGAAAAGTACTTCCCGAAGAAGCAGTCCAAAGATAACAACATGAAAGTAAGTCCTACCTGCCCTTTTCCAGTCATTCAAAGCCAGACCTGAACCAAGGCCAAGTCGGGTCTCAATTCCACTGAACTGTGGCGCGCTCATTAATCTCAGTGAAACTAATCCACAGTCTGTGGAAGAATGAACAATAATTCAACATGTCCACAAATAAACTGAACTTGGAGAGCTACTGTCAACCAGTGCCAAACAACATTATTTTAAATGATAAATATTAGTAAAATAACCCCAGACTCAGAAAGACCAACAGGTATCGAATACACATCAACAGAAGATGTAAACTTAAGCTTCTGTTCGATGTTTTATATTCACTTTTATGCCATTATGATAGAATAAATTTACATTGTGTGGTTTTGTGTCTAAGACATTTTTTTAACAAGTTAAATGAGCATAGTGTCAAACTGTGAAAATGTGGATTTCATCAACAAGTAAAGGGAGAGAAGATCCCGTGGTCAGTCGTTCAGTAATTGCCACCCCTGTTGTCTTAACGTGGGAGGAATGCAAACAGTGGCTTGCAAACATTTACCACATAGGATCAACTAACCAGCAGGCATGGTGTTGACGAACCATGGATCCTGAGTACACCAACTGAGCTTCATACAAATGACTAGCACATCCTGGTTATGGAAAAGGGACAAAACTCAACCCTAATTCCCTTGGCTCCTGGGCCCCACAAGTATTTGTGAATACGCTGAGGAAGAGAATCAGGCATTCAAGTAATTACTTAATTCTTTCCATGGCATCCAAATGTACATGATGGTTTAAACTGAATCACAATGAGTTTGCTTCAGACAGAACTCGATGGACACTTACATACTTGGAGAGGGCATTCTTGTATCAGCATTATAGGGGAAAGAAAGCTTTCGGATATTGAGAATACCAGTCAGTCATTGTGCTAGAAACCAATCAAGTACTAAATAAACAAATACAAAGACACATGATTTCTCATTTACAAAACTCAAAACGTATTACTTCCCAAGGGATGAAGATCTATATTATTATGTACATATATAACAGACACCAAATCTTAAAACACAACATTAACATTTCTGTAAGATGCAACTTTGTCATATTACAATATATGCATATTTCAAACATCAAAGATATAAAAATACATGCACATCAAATCACAGTGGGTTCTTGAATCTGAAATGAGCTTTTCTAAATATGCATGCAGAAGTGTTGACACTGAAAGTGCAGACAGTTTCTCGGAATTATTTTGAGACCAATTAGGTTTTATTACTTGTGATCAAAAGTCAGATAACTGTGCTTCTCAGAAACTAATGCCATTCCGATCTCTGAAGAAGCCAAGTCCACTCTGGTTGTAGATCATTGATGCCACACTTGCGTAGCTCTCGATGAGAATGGGCCCTTCAACAATGGTGATCTTCTCGTTTGGACGTTTGACCTGATACGCCTTGCTGACCGCTTGGACAAGGCTCTCATAGAAGTCGTCACAGTTGTAGGTGGTTGTTTCATTCTCCTTACGGTTGTAGAGAACAGGGTGGTGGCAGAACGTCACCCAGGGAATGTCTGTAGCAAATGGATTCCACTTCTGTCCGAATGTCAATTCCTGGCCCCGGTTCCATCTCAGCTGGATTCCACCATGTTGTCGGTCACTGAAGCATCATCATCATCATCATCATCATCATCATGAAAAGGGGTCCCTATTCTACGCATTTTACCTACGACAGTCCATGTCATCAACTAGTCAACAGCTAGTCAACATTTTAAACCAAGCTACGTTAATTGTTGCTTAGCGGATTTTAAGATTCCAAGTATAATCAATTCTGGACCAGACAAACCAGTGACTCATATAATGAGTGAGTGAGTGAGTTTAGTATTACGTTGCACTCAACAATATTCCAGCTATACGGCGGCGGTCTGTAAATAATCGAGTCTGGATCAGACAATCCAGTGATCAACAGCATGAGCATGGATCTGCACAATTGGGAACAGATGACATGTGTCAACCAAGTCAGGGAGCCTGACCACCCGATCCCATTAGTTGCCTCTTAAGACAAGCATAGGTTACTGAAGATCAATATTCTAACCCGGCCCTTCACGGGTCGACTGATATAATGAGCACCACCCCAACAAAATACACTGACATGTGGTTTTCTACTCTGTCGTGATCAAAAGCTTCATCAAACTAAGGTATAGATATGTTTAGCCATTTCCAGGCCCACACATGTCTAAAATAGTCAGCACAGACCTGATTTAGATACAAGTTGCTACAGCTGCTACTCGATGTGTGAAGCCAAATTCTGGTGTCCCCTGCCGTGATATTGCTGGAATATTGCTCTAAGTGGGGTAAAACCATACTCACTCACTACATGTGGCACATTTACTACACACAGAAACTCACGGCATGATTGAATGTTCCGGGTACTTGAAGTCGCCGATGCAGATGGTGTCGACACAGTGAAGCATGATGCGTTTGAACTCCAGCAGCTTCTGCGTGATGAAGTTGTACTTGCATACAATGAGTGAGCTCTCCGTCAGCATCATAATCTTCTCATGTTCCAAATCCCAGTGGTCGATTCTTGATAACCAAAAAAAGAACAATGTGTAAGAAAATATGACATAAACTTGCTCAAAATGAAACAATTTATTCCAGAGCCCCCAATGCTACCCATAACTCCCTATTAGTATCATCACGATAGTTACATTATTCACATTTAGGGTTTTACTAGGGGTGACCATTGAGGGAGAAACAACGATTGCGATAGCGATAGTCTATTACGACCAACTACAATACTAGTGCAATAGTTTTTTTCTCCTTGAAGTGTCTCATTTGATGTCATTTCCCAAATGAATGTACAGTTTATATGAAATAAAAACAAGCTGACGTAGTTTCAGTCTCTTTTAATAACTGACAAAAGGCTTGAAATCCAGATCAAGATTGTTTAAAGATCACATAAACCCTAGGGGTTAAAAATACATAAATCACTAACTGGCATCGTTATAAATGAAACCCCGTCATTAAAACTACTCATTTCGTCCTTTAATTGACTTAAATCGACCTTTTTGACAACAGTGCACAATTCTCACCCGCGAACGAAATTTCAACCAATCAGAGCGGCGCGACTCTGTGACGTCATATGAGGAATAGCTTTGAGGGCCGATGCAGAATTCATCTACATTTTAGGGGGTAAATTATCTTGTTTACAGGCTTGTATAAACCTGAAATCGTGACAATTGTTGTGGAAAATGAAAGCTATATGTTCTCACAATCTCCTGTCATTTAATTTTGTCTCCTGCTTTGCCTAGTTTCCGAGTTACAACTTGTTTTCATAGACGCTTCTGTCACAATTGATTGGTGTCGTTAGGCCCTATTTGTATAATGACTGATCCAAATTGATCCCATTTCTGTGTATTTTTACCTCGATATTTAATCATGTCATGTAAAAATCTGTTTGTATTCTCAAAACAGTGTCGGCCCATAAGTTTTCACATGCAATACAGCAATTAATACTCCCTTGTTGTAACCCGTGTTAGGTGGTATAAACCTACACATGTTATTTGTCATCATTCACTTGATGGTTCAGTTAATGAATTTATAACAGGTATAATTAGTGGTAACACACTTAGATTACCCGACAAAGGTTCCCATTTGGCATTTCTTGTGTCTGGAGTAAATTTGAAAATTTTAACTATAAATTGTATATTTATATACTTATCCTATCTCACGACTTGCACCTCTCTCTCTTCATTCGACCATGAGTGGAAACGAATTAAAACTTTGCTCAAGACCTACCTTGCCCCTCTCCCCGTGCTGTGCATGCCTTCCTGTCTCAGTCGTGCTCACTAGTCCATGACAGCACGAGGCATGCGCAGTCCTCACTCACGTGATCACCTCACATACTCATTCTTGATCTTGGAGCCATAAAAGGACAAAACCGGAACGGTGGTAATCTATGTAGTGGGGAGGTAGGGAGGGACTTTATCGCGTGAGATAGGATAAGTATATAAATATACAATTTATAGTTAAAATTTTCAAATTTTTAAACTTATCCTATCTCACGACTTGCACTTATAGATTACATAGATTACCCGGAATTCAAGCGATAACAGCTAGTGTTACGCCCAAACAACCGTAGGAAGCAACTGCAAGGTAGGGCAATAACTACCAAGTTACTACGTGCGAGGGTTAGGTCGAACCCATTGACTTATTAAGCACAATTGCTCCCAGGGACCGAGATTCCCGAGCAATGTGGTGTTCAGTCACTACCTTCACTAAGTGAAAGGACGTAGCTTAACGAGTGTAATCAGTCGCATCGCCACGATTTCCAAGGTACCCCCGTAATAAAAGTCAAACGACTAGTATCGGGCCAGCCCCTGCTTCGAAACAACCCCCACAGACACCGTCCCGAGGAGGGTGAAAGAGAAATTGAATCAGTAAAACTCACAATTTTTAACGTTCCGTACCACAACATCATCTTATGACTTCCACTACTTACCACAATAAGATCACATAGATGTGTATAGGCACTTAGGAGCATGAACGCTACAAAGTGTAACACTTCGGGAAGGACTCACTTCACTGACTTAATTACTCCGTGGAGCAGAGGACAGTAAGTGAGGTAGCACTCTCTGTAGTCTCAAACAAATGAGAGGAGAAAATCTAAATCCCGGAAGAAATAAAGACGTAAATCAGAAAAGTTTTCAGATTTATTCAGATTGTACACAAGCAGAAGCGATCGCGACTTGGGATCAACTGCACAGTGGGATCCATATAGCATCGGAGCACAAGGAAGTTCATTATCTGCGATGTTGTGCCGCTGATAACTGCTGGGCAAGGACAAGTGGTCCAAACTGATGAAGGCCTTGAATATCCGTCACCGACACATCTCTGAGGTAATGAGACGAAAATACCGTGTCAGATCGCCAAAACACCCTCCATTATGGCAGTTAACGAGCAGTTGCTATGCAACGCCATAGTAGAAGCCAAAGCCCTGGTTTCATGAGGGTTGACTGCGTGAGGTGGTGGCAAACCGGCAAAAGTGTAGGCTCGTAGTATTGTAGCTCGTAGCCAATATGAGAGTGTTGTGCGAGAAACTTCCGCCTTGGAAGCCGTAGACAAGGGTATAAATAGTCTCTTACGCAGACGGCGGCGCTCTTGTGATGCTTTAAGGTAAATGCGAAGTGCTCTGACTGGACAAAGAGACAGATCTTCAACATCTGCTGGACCCAATATGGTTGACAAAGGCGGGATTGTAAAAAGACGATCAGGTTGACCCGGCAACTGTTTTTTTGCAATAAAATCCCAGCGCAATCCCAACAATACCTTGCCATGTCTACTCTGTTCAAAACGGACACGGTTGATATCTAGAGCATGCAGTTCTGATATACGTGCCGCTGTGGCCAAGGCAATAAGAAAAAAGGTCTTGAATGAAACTTGTTCAAACTCCTTGTCCTGTAAGGGTTCATAATGCTCGGACACTAAGTGGTGCAGGACCACGGATAAGTCCCAAGCTGGTGGACGAAATTTCCTGGATTGGTCGGCTAGCTTAAAAAGAGCGAAGTAAGTACTGCAGTTCGGTACCGTCGAAACCTTCGTACCAGAAGTCGCGTGGCTAGGACCCGAATTAAGAGCCGCCAAGTAGGTGGCTAAAGTGGAACCCTTGAGTTTCCTTGTAGCCCGCAAATGTTGTAAATATTCCGCAACAACCTGGGGCGAAGCAGTAGTAGGAAGCGATCCTCTGACCCGACAATAACATTCAAATTTCTTCCACTTATCGTCATACAAAGAACGGGTAGGCGTCGATGAGCTGCAGTGATAGCTGAGGCCACTCTGTGAGAATAACCTTTGGCTATTAGTGATTTCTGCAAATGTGCCATCACGTGAAGATTGAACGTCTGTGGTGACTCGTGATACACCGCCCGAGTGCGCGGATGAACTAGTAGGTCGTCCCGACGGGAAGAGGAATGCTGCTTCGACTGACTAGACTTTTTAGGCCGACGAACCAACTTCGCTGGCCAAAATGGCACTACCAAAAGTAGTTGTACTTTGTTGGTTAACAGAATTTTCTGAATGACCTTGTGAAGTAGAGCGGAGGTGGAAACGCATAAGCGTTGAGGCCTTCCCAAGGAATGGCCAGGCGCCGTGATCCCAAGCTAGTGGATCTGGAATTGGAGATACGAATCTCGGCAGTTGGGAGTTGAACCGAGTGGCAAACAGGTCGACACTCAGCCGAGAGATCGGGTAAATTATCGTCCGAAAAATCTTGGGCAGGAGTTGCCACTCTGTGGGCTGACGGGCGACTGGAACGACAGACAGAGCGTCGGCAATCACGTTCTTTGTTCCGGGATGTGCCTGGCTCTTGCGACGATGTTGAGAGAATCTATCAGAAGATAGAAACAAAACGCCCACTGTAGGAGTGCTGCTGAACCCGTCGACCCTAGGTGATTGATGTACCACACTACCGTCGAGTTGTCGGACTGTATCAGCAGGTGAGACATCTTGAGTAGAGCCGCCCAGTGCTGAATCGCCAGTAATACTGCCTTGAACTCCAGAATGTTTATGTGGAGTGACTTTGTCTTCGGACGACCACTGCCCTGCCACTTGATGCTGAAGGAAGTGGAAGCCCCAACCTTCTAGAGAGCGCCCACAAACAACTGATGGGTTGGACTGAATGGCACCAAAGAGACGCCCGGCGCAAACATTCTGTACGTTGAGCCACCAACGTAGAATTGGACGTAGTTCCCTGGTAACCGAATCAACACCTGAGGGTTGTTGGTTTGAAGATGAGGCGCAGAAATAACTGAAGTGGGCTTGAAGCTGCAGTTGACCTCTGTAAGTCAGAGCCTGAGCTGGCGTTAAGACGCCTAACAACTCCTGCCACTGGCGTAGAGTTCTGGGGTGATCCAAGGCTAGCGGAACCAGACGCTGAATTTTGGTCCACCTGTCCTGGGGAACAAACAACTTGGCTTGTTCTGTGTCGAAGATTGCTCCTATGAACTGAAGTCTGCGAGTCGGTGTTAACTCCGACTTCGTGAATTGAGGAGCCACCCTAACTGTTTGAGCAGCCTGATGGTGAACTCCCGATGGATTTGAAGAACGTTTGGATCCTGTTGTGCCTGAATACAATCGTCGATATAGCTTTCGAAAGTCACTCCCGAGAATGTAGGAAACTGCTGATGGGTTTGGTCACCCGAGTAAAAGCCACGGGGCGTAGAGATTCCAAATGGAAGGACGTTCCATTGGTAGTGATGGCCCCGAAGGTGAACCTTAGATATTTCCGATGATCTGGGTGAATCGAATGTGCAGGTATGCGTCTTGAAGATCTAGGATATGAGGAAATCCCCTTTCTTCAGAATTGAGCGGAAGACTGACCGATACCATGCGAAAATGAGGTGGTTGTTGCAGGAATCGGCGTTGAATGTCTTCATATTGAAGATGAGACGCAACTTGCTGGAGTTTTTCTTTGGCACCAGAAAAATCGGGGAGTAAAATCCTGGAGTTATGCACACCTGATCTAGGTGTTCTATTGCATGTTTCTCCAGTAGAGTTTGGATTGTAGTCGAAAGGACTGCAGCCCG